ATATATATATATATATATACATACATATATATATATATATATAGATAGATATATGAAGGAATGTATACATTTGACGACAGCAGGACCTTGGCGCACATGAATCCCAGAAAGAGCGCTTCAAGCATCCCTGTTGACTGCCATCAGTCACTTCAGTCCTTCATCACACTGAAGTCTGCTGCTGATGAGAGGGACTCAGTTTTTCTCATAGCAGTCATTTGTCATTTATCAAAACTTGTTTTCAAAATAATGCTGTATTGAAAAAGGCTGAGCTCGGCGTAAGTTGAAATTGACTTTGCTGTATTGTGTCTTGTTGCTCCACATATCCTACATTAGGTAGAAGATTTATCAGAATTTAATCTTGTCTTCATAATAAACGAGTTGTATCTGAATTTGCAAATGTTTTTCTTCTAATTAAACCCAACTCACCCCAAAATTTCATTCTGCGGACATATGATCAGATTATGATTTGGGGTTTAAATTATACCGTTTTATCTTTTACTAACGAACACTGAATTCATTTAAATGGTAATGTGCAAAAGTCTTGAGCAATGCCTCTATTTTTTCTTGCATCGTTAGCTCAACTTTTCGTATATTTGTTTAAATGGTCTCATTTAATCAAAGGCCTTTAGAAAATATTTTAGGGAGTTAGGAAATGTGTGTGCATGTGCACCAACCCACCTAACACAATCCTGTTTCTCTTTCAGACATTTAAACATACGTGTAGCTCAAGGGATGAACCACTTGTTCTACACGCATCAGAAAACTGCATAGAATTAACTTTTTTTTTAAGCTTTCTTCTAGCATCCTGTTTTGAACATATTATTTTTACTTTGATCTATAAATATATTGTTGAAGGTAAGAGTTTGAAAGTGATGAAACAAAATTTTTTTTTATCACTCTGTCACCTAAAAGCCATTAACCAAACTGAGTGATTTCAATTGTATTTTCATGTGTATATTTAAACTGATACATTTGTCTTAAAATAGCATCATACATGTTCTGTGAGCTGCAGTGCAGCTTCTTACATCTCTTTCATTCTCTCCTCACAGGAGGCGATCGGTCAGCACCAAAGGCCCAGCCGACCAGCCTCTGATCCTGCAGCTGTTTTGCCACCGCATCAATCCAGTCCCCCTCACATCTCCCCCGTCTCCCCTCACCTGGAGATTAAACCTTCAGGTAAACACAGGAGTTTGTCTTTTATCTTCGCTTTGCCTTTGAGGTTCGGTGCACTGGGTTACACCTTTACTGTAATCCAGTCTGCAGCACCTAATTATTCTATTGTTAAAATGTTTTTGTGCTCAAATGCATTTGAGTCTTTCTCTGATTGTAACTTGGAATCTTTTTAGTCTTTAACTTCTCTTTACACACCACCCTCAGATGTATAATATCTGATGCTGGTGTGTGTGTTTCAGCTGTCTTTTCTCTACAACATCACACGAGAAGAGACTAATTGAACACTTCTGATGTTTAAGTGCATAAAGTAGAATCAGTCAAAGTTATAATTGTTTTGTTTCAACACGGATCACATTTATTGTGCTTTCCTATCCCTGAAGTGTCTTCACTTTCTCCCTGACATTAAGATAAAGCAGCACTATTTGTGCATTTAAGATTATTATTTTTTTATCTTGCAGATGTTAACTCTACCGAGACACCTGTGGTGAAGAAAAAGAAGCAGGTTCACTTTGGAGATCCTTTATCTCCGGAGTTTTTTGATAAGAACTTGCCCCCCAGCACTCCATTACAGAAGGGGGGCACCCCAGCACGAGCACCCACTCCCGGTGGGAGCTTACAGCTGCGCTCCGTGCTGAAGACACCACAGACTAGTGAATCCAACACACCACATCATCAACTGGAACTTTACAGCCCCACTGAGTTTGGCGACTCTCCTACTTTAGCGATTCCCCACAAACGCAGAAGGCTGTCTGAAGAAGCAGACGGTGAGGATGGAAAGGTAGGCAACGCTTCTGGTAACAGTCGAGACGAGTCTCATGCTGTCATCAGTGTTCCTGAGGCATCTGGATTACACCGCACGTGTCAAAAACAATTACAGCAGCAAAGCAGCAGTGAAGAGCCTCTTGGTTTTAATAATGCTAACACCTTTAGAGATGTTTATAATCTGCCTGTTCCTGGAAGTACCAGGATGTGACACTCTAGATGTTCCAGTCAGGACTAACGTTGTTTTTGTTTTTTCTACTTAGATTGCTTTTCCTGCAATGGAGGAGTTTGACTCTGCAATGACAAGCGATTCAGGTGCATAACAACATTATATTGATTCTGATCTCCTGATCCATGCTCAATGATTCAGGTAGAAAAGTCCAACAAAGTTAAGTCAGGTCCTCTGGATGGTTTCTTCTTTGTTGAAACGTTTCATCTTTTATCCAAAACACGTCTTCAGTCCGAAGAACTGCAAGAAACTCAGTCTTATAAATGGCACCTTCTCATAGTGGATCAATTAGTTTACTGGTGATAGCCAGAGCTAGCTGTTCACATGAGTAATGTTTAGGCCTGTCACCATAACATATTTTGCTGGGCGATTAATTTTTCTCAGAAATTATTGCGATAAACGATAAAATTGTTTGAAATTTGACAATAATTAGTAATTGTCAGATTTAAGAAGAAATATTGGTTAATTTTGAGTGTAGTGCCTTTTTTGACCACTGGATGGCAGTATACGACCATTTGAACCAAAGGATGGATAGTGAGTTAGCTAGCAGTGTGTCTCTTTATGAAAAATGGGAGGGAGGTCCCTTGACGTGACATGGGCTGTTTTTCTTTGGTTCTCAAAATGGCGGACGCTCGGTGTGGTTTGAGCTCTTTAGCATAGCATTTTTCACACAAAGCTTTTAATAAAAATTGGTCAACAAGTTCTCAGCTTCTTCTTACAGATAAAAACAACTTTTTACATGAGGGCACGGGTTTCAACCATGAATTTTGGAGCTTAGACAAGACGGAGGTTTTTTCCCTGTGGTCGGCCTGTTAGCTTAGCTCTTAGCTTAGCTTCTCAGTTAAGCTGCTTTTAACGATCCAAAAACGCGATTTTGGATCGTTAAAATGGATTTTAAAGAAAAGAGAAAAGGAGGGGTCAGTGAAGAACACCGAAGTTGAGCCTTTTGTCATCCAGTGTCTTCAGTAGAAAGAGAGAGACACAAAGAAAGGATAAAGCTGATAAATGAAAATGAGGTTGATAATTTTAAATTATCGTGCGATTACCAGTAATGGATTTATTGTTTATTGCGACAGGCCTAGTGATATTGTGTTTGCTTGTAAATGAGTCCTCGAGTCTCAGTGAGACTAACCTGTATAAATAAAGGTTGAATGAATGCTGGTCAGTATCAGTCAGGGCTGTGATCAGTCTTACATCGGGGAAACTAAACAGCCACCAGCCAAAAGGATGGCCCAGCACAGAAGATCAACATCATCAGGCCAGGACTCTGCGGTCTACACTCATCTCCAGGCCAGCGGTCACTCTTTCAGGGATGAAGATGTTCACATCCTGGACAGAGAGGAAAGATGGTTTGAGAGAGGAGTAAAGGAGGCCATCTTTGTGAAAAGAAATCGTCCATCATTAAACAGGGGTGGAGGCCTCCTGGTTCAACTGTCCCCCTCTTACAATGCTGTGATTGCTAGTATCACTCAGCCCTCTGTGAGTAGTAAACAGCCATCAGTGTGCTAATGATCCATTGTTAGGCTGATGGTCCTTCTTGAGCATGTGATCAGCTGGTTCTGTTTGTCATCAACAAACTGGTTGATCCACTCTGAGAAGGTGCTGTTTATAATTCTGTTTGTTACAGCACCTGAAGAAGTCTTTTGGATGAAAGATAAAATGTTTCTACATAAAATAATCGGTCCAGAGGACCTGATAATTTTTTTTAATAGTGACTCTGATAGTTTATTTTTCTGTTGGGATGCAGTCCATCTTCGTGTGCTGATGCTTGAAGATGATTCTTTCCTCTTGTATTTTCAGAGTGTGCACTGGGTGCCCAGCTGTTGAACGTAAACATGGCTTCTCTGTGGGAGCCTGTTCCTCACGTCCTGACAGGTAAACTGCATCATGACTCTTCTGTTTAGTACTCCTTGTTCTGCTCTTATTGACCAGCTACTAATATTAATTTATAACTCTGTCTCGGTAATTTGAGATGAACGTTTTTATTTGCATTTATGTTAAAATTGCCCTTCTATTTGTTTAAAAACTTGCATTAAATAGACTCACTTTAATTTTAACTTTAAAAGTAATTTAGTAAAATAATTTACTATTACAGTTTCATGCCATTTTCATTTTGTTTTTATAAAAAAAAAACATTTTCAGGATTTATTTTACTTTCTTATTTTTTATTGTACCACTGTTTCTGTTTGCAATTAGTTTTTCATCAATATTCACCTTTTATATATTCACTTGCATCATCTGAGGAAACTTTCATTTGAAGCAGTATAAAAAAACTACGGTAGTAAACAGTTTCCTGAGTTTCCAGAGGGGTCTCATCTATGAATTAGAGTAACAAAGACTTTAAGAAACCCCTACTGTTCAGGTGTGACTTGTCATCTACATGTGTGTGTGTCTTATCTCACTCAGCCTTATAACCTGAATCTCTCATTCTCTGCTCATTGAATTGAAAAAGCTCCTCGGATGAGGAGCGAAACGTCTTCTGTTACAAATAAAGTCCAGTTATTTTTGTATTGAACGCTTTTTGAATTCATCATGTCCTGGATGACTGAGAATCTTCTCCAGCATAAAAAGTTTCCTCAAATGATAGAGGTGGCTGGTTTACCAATTCATATGCTGGTGGCCATCTTGGATTTTGGCGTGGCAACTCAGTTTATGATAGTCACCTTTCTTTCACCTAGATTCATCCCCACACCAAACTGTAGTTGGTACCTCGCTTCTTTCTTATGTCATGCAGCTCACAACGTGGACCGATGAAGGGTGTTTTCCCTTTATTGTCCTGCGACAACAAAGCAGCTCCAAGAATCATGTGACCGTCACACGTTCAGCTTTTTCTGCTTTACTGAACCAAGAGTTTCACCAAATCAACTAATCATTTTTATTAAATGATCACTAAGACATTTCTGAGTGTGTGATGTGCGATGTAAAGTAAATGTTTGTATTTGTTTATTGAAAATGGACAGAAGTGAGTTTACTTAATTCTAGACTTAAGACGATTGTGTAGTGACTCTAAATGTCTATTCATACTTCTGCTGATTGAGTCTGTTTGTGACACAACCCAGCTTGGTTGCACCAATAAATATAATCAAAGATTACAACAATGAAATGCATTCCTGTTCATTTATCACCTGGAATTAACCATAGACCAGTAAAAGTGTTCTTTATTAAATGTCGTGCAGTTTTTCACAGCTGCTTCTTTTTTCCTCTCAGAGTTTGACACCAGATCCAGTCTGCGTTCTCAGGTGGATTTCATGGATGAGCATAAATCTGTGCCAGACGAGAATCGGTCCGAAGCAACTGATATAAGTCCAACTCCGACTCGATCCAGCAAGAGAACAAGAAAGGTCTGCAGCAATTAAAAATGGTTTAGTTCACTTTCTCATGAAATATGTATAACCTGCTACTTATAAACCCGTACTGCAGCGTTTTGTGCAGTTTAACAAAGCTTGTGAACTTGATTCATTGCAGACGAAACAGGAGCCTAAAAGTGATCCTCGAGCACGCTCCTGCTCCAGAAGGAGGAAGGTCTGCCATCACCACACACTGTCCCAGCTTCATCTCGTTTGTACAAACATCCATTTACCAAACAAGTTAGACTTTTTAATAATGCAGAGGTCATAACACGCTCCATCTCATCTGTTCTTTAATTCCACTGCTTCTGGACTTTATTGCACCTGAAAACTTCCTCTCTGTGTGACAGAGTAACTTGAAGTCAACTTTGTGTTCTTCCAGCAGCCGGAGGAGAGCACACCTGTGAAGAGGTCAACACGCTCTGCAGCCAAGTTGGCCTGCGGGAAGATGAAGGTGAGCTGCTCGTGTCTTTGCATCAGGTCACTGGACTCCATGTCTGCACATTCTCACCACAACTTTTCATTTTAGTATGAAATGTGGAAAACAGAAAATATGATAGTTTTTAGATTTTACTGCATTTCCTAAAATGATAGTAAATTAAATTTTCAATAGTGCTCAAACCAGAAACTCATTAAAAGTTTCTGAAAATCCATCCATCCATTATCTTTACCCATTTCTTCCTTGTCGGGTTGTGGGGGTCACTAGTGCCCATGTCCAGCAGTCACTGTGAGAGGTGGGGGACACCCTGGACAGGTCTCCAGTCCATCACAGGGACAGACAAACAACCATTCACTCTCACTCACACCTAGAGACAATTCAGAGTCACCAATCAGTCTAACATGCATGTTTTTGGTCTGTGGGAGGAAACTGGAATACCTGGAGAAAACCCACTCATGCACAGAGAGAACATGCAAACTCCACTCAGACAGGTTCCTGGCTGGGATTTGAACCGGCGACCTTCTCATTGAGAGGTGGCAGCACCACCAACTGTACCACCGTGCAGCTTCTGAAAAAAAAAAGTATTTTTTTCCTTTAAGACACATTATCTGATTAAATGTTCATGTGTCCATACAGAAGCCTCACTGAGTGGAGGACTTGGATAAAAACTGGCACCAGATCATGAACAGTCCATCACTTCTCTCATTATGAACACCATGCACACACACGCTTTATTTATTTAATTGTTGTTTTTGGTTAATTTGGTTGCTTTTGTTTTAGCTTAGCTAACTGCAGGACAGAACAAGAGTACCATATTTTTTGCCCTATAAGTCACAGTTTTTTTGCATAATTTGCATGCCCTGTAAATTATACACCGAAGCAACTTATTCATGGATTTTTTTCCCATATTTATAAACCAATTTTTGCCTGAGATATGACTGTTTTCATTCATTCTGACTGAAATATTGATCACTACCATTTTCAGCCACTAGATGGCACTCGAGTGGTACGGTATGTTGTTGTATCATGGAATAGGTAAAAGTGGCTATTAATGACACAATCGGCTTGCCATAGACTGCCACCTTCATCCAGCTCGTCTGGAGCAACTTTCAAATCAGCTTCATTTCACTGCACCGCCCCAGTGACATGCAGCTGATTTGACCATTAAAGTGCATTTATTAAGTCGAAGTTCAACCGAGACACACCTTTGCTATAATGTCGAGCAAACAAATAATTGCTTTAGGTGCTTATCTTGTTAAATTTTGAAGAAATGCACAGCGTTCCTACTTCCTGATTTCCTCCCTGTCAGCACGCTCCCAGAGCACCGAGGCAGCGATTACTTGTGAAATGCAGCTGATTTGACCGTTAAAATCCTTTTATTAAGTAAAAGTTAGTCTGAGGCACACCTTTACTATAAAGTTGAGCAAACAAAATGTTTTTAAGTGTTAATCTTGTTGAATTTGGACAGCGACTCGTCCTGTGCACACGCTTACATCCACGTATGGACTTTTGAAATGCAGCTGATATAACCGTCAAAGTGAATTTATTAAATAAAAGTTCAACCGAGACACTCGTTTGCTATAATTTCTAGCAAACAAATAATTGTTTTTAAGTGTTAATCTTGTTAAATTCTTGTTAAAGTCCTCCCGTGCGCGCTCCCACGGCCGCCATTTGGCAGCTAATCGATTTTTGGCACAACACTGGCTCACATTTCCAGGTTGTCAGCGGTGACGCGTCACGTGATGCGTCACCGCTGATGCGTAATAGATGCGACGTATACGGCGAAGCGTGTTCATGGATTTTTCCACTTTTTTCGACATATTTGGACTGAACTTTGTGTTCAGCCTCCTCATGTGCATGCAGTGGGTTTAAAGCTGCCCTCGCACAGACTGCTCACAAGTTCAGTGCTGGTTGCTGGGAGACAGAACATAGATGTAGAAAGAAGCTTGTTGCTGCAGCACATTGGGAGTAAAAAATAAAATCAGAAACTACCGTAATAAAGACAGGAGGAGGATCAGTGTCAGTGGAATCAGAAACTCTGCTGTGGGTGTCTCTTGCTGTTTTGGAGTTTAAGTTTGTTAAACCTTTTTTTTTTTTTGTACTTGTTGAGTATAAAACCAACTGCTGAGTATAATCTCAGTCTTTGACATTAATCTAGAGCAGGGGTGTCAAACTCTCTTACAAAAGGGGGCCAAAATTAAAACCTTTTTCAAACTAAGGGCCAATTTCAGAAATTAAATTAACTCAAATCAGATGCCCAACATCTTTTCTTAGTCAGAGTTTGATTGGTCTCATTTGTTGTTCTCTGTTGTGCTTCTGTCATCATAATCAAAGATTACTGAAAAAAAATTCAAGAGATAGAAGAATTTTACGTTTCACATATCATCTTGGGGGCCAGATAAGATGTTAACGAGGGCCGCATTTGGCCCCCGGGCCTTGAGTTTGACACATGTAGTCTAGAGATACAGAAACGAGCCGTTCCTCCCACAGCACAGTTTCTGTCCACCCAACAGAAAGTTTCATGGTAACTTGTGTGACGTTGTTCTGCAGAAGGCCTCAGCAGCCCGTCGCTGGGACAAAGATGTGGACCGTTCTCTGTACGGCTCCCGGGAGTACGCCTCCAAGAACCCCAGTCTGAGCCCCATCAGAGAGAGGCAGTCCCTCAGCAGCCTGACCCCTGCAGCACAGCCCACTCCTCAGCGCTGCACAAGTAACATCTCCACACACACATAAACTCACTCTTGTTGACTTCAATCTGTTTTTACTTCCTAACTGTTTTGTTCTCATTTTGAACAGCTCCAAGTCAAGAGCCCCTCACGGTCTCTGATGTGGTGAGTAACACTGAAGCAGACGATGGTTTTGTTGTGAGGAGAGCCACAGACAATGCTCCACAAGATTCCTTGACCTCTCCCTACTCTGGACAAGAGGACAGCAGGCTGCTGAGGTCAACAGTCAGAAGAAGACGGAGGAAGGTGAGTGTTCCTGACAGCCAGGAGGCTCAGGACCAGGCAGGACAGATGGAGCAGCTTTTTGAAGATCAGACTTCTTCTAGCTCTGAGTTTTCAGCAGGAACCACGTCAGAGTCCAGTGAAGCTCCACAGGCTGGCACTGAGGAACTTGATGCTCAGACTCCTGCAGCTACTTCCTGTACTGATGCAGGAACAGAAGATCGTACATGTCTGCATGCATCCACCTCTTACTGCCCACCCTCAGCTGAAGAGCCCAGCACCACAGAGCTAAAGCAGAAAAGAGCCAAACGAGGCCGAAGGAGCTCAGCCCTACATGAGCCTCAGAAGTGTCCAGAGGAGCACCAGAGCAGCTGTGATGTGGAGGAAAATGGACTGAGAGCGCGAGCAGAGGGTCAGCCCGAGAACAAGTGGAGCTCTGACAGCCAGGAGGAGGTGGGCGGAGCCTTTACCTTTGTACACCTGGCCCCGTGGCAGTCTGACTTTAACGTTGAAGATGTTTTCAAACCTGCTGCCAGAAGAGGGCAGCGCTCGGTCCGACGCAGCCTGAGGAACCAGCACAGCTCGGAGCAGAGCGGCAGCATGGCAGGACTGGCCTGGCTGCCCCACGTCTCCCCAGACTCCGTTAAAGAGGCTCGCAGGAAGACCCGCCACCGGCGGCTCAGTGCCGCTCTGCCTGTCCAGCCTCCTCTTCATGAGGAAACACAAGACGCCTCGCTGGATGGACTGAGAGCAGCGGGAGAGAACTAATCATTTCTCACACCCTCAGACTGTTTTACTAGATTTTATTTCCAAAGAGACTGATCATTTTACATCCGTGCTTTTGTTCCTCGTGAAAAATTGGAGCCGACCACTACTTTCTATTAATCCCCCCCACCCACCACCACCACCACATGGTAACCAAACTAGTCAATACACTGAGAGCCCAATCATCTCTGCTGACCAGCTTCTGATCAATAAAACCCACTCAGCTTGTAATCACAGTCCTTGTCCTGCGCACCCTCCAAAGTCATCAGATCAAACGTCCTGAAATCAATATGTGCTCCGTACGCCTTCATTCACACAAGCAGCTGTTTATTTATGGCTTCTCTTGTGGGATTTAAACACTCGCTGTGTTTTAGCAGTAGTGAAATGGACAAGCTGCGTCTAGTTTGTTTCAGAGTGACTGGTTCTTTGTAAAGATGACACTTCAGACCCACGTGTGTTCTTTAAAGGGATGTGTCCAAACAATAAATCCGGCTCCGGGTCAAGTGTTTGTTCCAGGACCTGCTGTGGAAACGACTGGTTTTATTCTGAAACCAGCCAAACGACTTCAACTAAATTGCCCTGCAGCCAGTTATAGATTCAAATCAGCCACTCGTTACTGTTTTATTCATCTATCAGAGAAGAATGAGAGAGCAGAAACAGATTGAGTTTCAGATTCAGTTCACGTCAGAGGAATGGCTTCTCGAATGATGCATGACTGTAATCGATCCATCACTGGGTAATTGACTGCCTCCCTTTACAGCAAGTCAGTGATTTGGCAGAAGGACTGGAGGTGTCTCTCCCTCTCTGTGCCAAGGTCTCTTGTGTGTCCCCACAGGAGAACAAATGGACAGAAGCTGTGGTGGTGCAGTGGGGCCACACTGCCACCATGTGGCAGCTTCTACACGTTTCATGTTGCCATTTTCTCCAGCATCATTTTATCAATAAACAAGATAAAAGAAGTCACATGATCCTCCAGCCTGGAGGGGAAATGTCAAGTTATTTTTTTCTTGGACAAAGTACCTTCGTTTCTTTTCTCAATAAAATGAGTTTTGAATCAGACCGTCTTCTTTTTCCCCTCACTGAATGCTGAATCAGCGTTCATGCTACAGCAAACCTGTTTCTCCTTTCTTCGGTACTTTTTCAGATGTGTAACTACTTCTGCATACTTTGTGCTGTTTTAGCTGTTCACCACACTGAGTTTTGTAACTTTCATATTTCTCAAGCTACTTCACTTTATTAAAAAAATGTCCCACAGAAATAAATTCTCTTTGAAATCTGCTTCAGTATATTTGCTCTATTTTTGTCTTCCCATTCCACTTTTGACCAACATTTAGCTTCTTTTAGCTTTGAGCTAGCATTTAGCTACCTGTACCTGTTGTTTAGGTACTTTAATCAGTATTGTACTATTAGCTTGTGTTTATTGCTATAAGTTGGTGTTTTTGCTTTAGGTTTAAGCAAACTTGTTTACAGTTGGCTAACATTTGTCTTTTAGCTAGTGTTTGCTGCTGCTTAAGATAATGTTTCACAATTTTTTGCTTTTGATTAGTATTTTGCTTAAACTTGAGCTGTGGAACCAGCTGCCTGATCATATCAGACAGGCTTCAGTTCTTCATGATTTTATTTCAAGTCTTGTTGTTTTTTATATGTTTTATTTTAATTATTACGCTTAGTCTTAGTTTCATGTGCAGCAGTTTTGCTGCCTGCAGTCATTTTTTAAATGTTTTCTATAAAGTTGATTGATTTTTAGGCTAGCATTTTGTTATTTTTAGCCATCTAGCATTTTGCTACTTTTAAAAAGTGATTTCCTTACAATTGTTTCACTACCTTTAGCAGTTTATATAGCTTTTAGCTAGCATCTTGCTTAGTTTAACATTTTCCTCTCTTCATCTTTTAGCTTGCATTTCACTCTTTTCAGCGTTAACAATCCTGTTTCAGCTTCATCAGCAAATCTGCAGTCATTCAGCTCTCTGTGTGTCCTGTGTATAAATGAGTACTTTTAGTTTTAGATACACAACTGAAGCCTGGGTACAAGTGTCTGTTTGTTGGGCACTGAGAGCGCGGGAGAGAGTGTTTTTGTGTGACTGTGTGGAGGTGGTGTGAAGCCCCCCATCCCTGGCAGACGGGCATAGTGAAGACGGCTTAACACGGGAACAATGGGGTCCTTTGACCAAAACGACGCCCCCAAGACATGTGGCCTCCTGTCACCTTGGCAACCCCCCATGGGATAGAGTGGGGTGACAGCTGGAGAGGAGGACTGACAAAAATGGAGTCTATTTCTTTCCACTGAATCTCCTGGCTCTGTCTTTTCGCCTGTTCTGCTCGATCCTCGGCTCGTATGAATGTGGTCTCACTTTACAGCTTCATTTGACTGACCCCGTAGGCTCGACGCCACCAATCGCCACAAAATAAATCAAATGAAAGCCAACGGTAAATCAGCGCTTTAAGGACTCTTGGTGCTGTCGGTAATAAAACAGCTCTGAGCTCGTTGACTAATTTGGGGCAGAGCCAGAAGATTTCACACTTCGTACACTTGATTTTCTGCCTTGTTTTAAAGCCGATAGACACTTTCTGTCCAGGCACAAGGAGGGAATCCAGTTCCTTCAAATTTAAAGACTTTCAAGTAGTTAATTGGTAACTGAATGGTGTTGTCCCGCTGCCTTGCTTCTTTCTGTGCTGTGGGCCTTTATTATTGATGCTCGGAGCTCACCCATAGAGTGTAAGACAGCAGGAGGAGGGCGACAAAACAAAGGAAGCACAACAAGAGAGCCTGCAGTTCTTCAGTTTGGGTTTCTGTCCCAGTGCCGCTCTGTGTCTGCATACAGCTGTGACTGGTTCAATCCTGCTTCAGACAGCTGCTGCTGTACACAACTCAAGACTTCTCATGTTTATCCAAAATGTGCTGCACAGCTCACAAGGGAATAAATCTTTGAAGTTTGAGATGCAAAAGGAACATTCCCACTATTTTAATCTTTTTTGCTTTATTAGAAACATTGAATCCAGCTGGTTTCAGGGCACTGCAGCTGCTTAGCCTTCAATCTGGGTTTTCTAAAGTTAGAACTCTGGCTCACATCTACAAAGTCTGCAGTTTGAATTTTATTTTTATTTTTATCCATTTCTTTCTTTTTTTTTTTTTTTTTTTTGCATTGGGCCAATGACTTGTATTATGGGTTAACCTGTGTTCAAAGGTGCTTCAGTTGAAGCATTTCAGGAATATCAAATCATTTATCAGCATAGGTTATTTGCGTTGGGTATTTTTTTCATGTACAGTACTGTACATGTGCTGGTCATAAAATTAGAATATCTTGAAAAATTTGAGTCATTTCAGTAATTCCATTCAAAAAGTGAAACTTGTATATTATATTTGTTCATTACACACAGACTGATATACAAACCGGATTCCAAAAGAGTTGGGACACTAAACAAATTGTGAATAAAAACTGAATGCAATGATGTGGAGATGGCAAATGTCAATATTTTATTCGTAATATAACATAGATGACAGATCAAAAGTTTAATCTGAGTAAATGTAACATTTTAAAGGAAAAATATGTTGATTCAAAATTTCACAGTGTCAACAAATCCCAAAAAAGTTGGGACAAGTAGCAATAAGTGGCTGGAAAAAGGAAATTTTGCATATCACAAACAGCTGGAAGACCAATTTTTTGAATTGTTTCAAACAGAGCAGTGATGTTAAAATTACTGACAACAGCACTGTTCTCTTTCTTAAAAATGAGTTTTAAACCAGAGTCAGAGGGTTTCAGTTTATAATAGAGATTGACAATAGATGATTGTATCATATGCACAAAAGTGACATTCAGCATCTGATAAATAATTATAAAGAAAGTGAAGAGCAGTGTACCGAATGCAGAGCCCTGAGGATCGCCTTTTGGAAACGAGAACAAAGGAAACAGACTCTGGTGGACATACTGTTCTGACTTGACAAGCAATTTGAAAACTAAAGTACAGCATTGGCAGAAAAGCCTGTTTTTATTTATTTATTTGTATTCTCTTAACAGTGTGGTCATCAGTGTCAAATGTCTAACAAATCAAGAACAAGTAAAGTGTCTTGTGTGAAAATACTCATTTAAAGATTTAGTGTGCCTCAGGAGTTGTGTTAAAGTCGTTACGTTATATTCTTCTGTATAAAGTGATAAAGGAGATTTAAAAAGCTTGTCTGGGGGTTGCATTCATCCTTTTCTTGAAGGAATGCTGCTGAGAGCTTGTGTTTGGAAATGATGAATTTGTAGCTGTTTTAGTCAAACGAAAAATATTGTTTGACCTGATTTCAACTGACTATAAGACCTTGCTCAGAGTATGTGTTGAGGATGACACTCAGCTACTACCACATCAAATTTTAGCTCAATAGTGGTAAAACTGACAGAGTTACAGCCATTTGTTTTACATTTCTGAGTTTGGCTTTGGGCAGCACGGTGGCACAACTGGTAGAGCTGCTGCCTCTCAGCGAACAGGTTACGCTGGTTCAAATCCTGGCCAGGAAGCCATTCTTTGTGGAGTTTGCATGTTCTCTCTGTGCATGCGTGGGTTTCCTCCGGTTACTCTGGTTTCCTCCCACAGACCAAAAACATGCATGTTAGACTGATTGGTAACTCTAAATTGTCTCTAGGTGTGAGTGAATGGTTGTTTGTCTCATTTATCTCTATGTGTCCCTGTGATGGACTGGAGACCTGTCCAGGGTGTCCCCCGCCTCTCACACAGTGACTGCTGGACATGGGCACTGGCGACCCCCATGACCCAAAATGGAAAAAGTGGGTAAAAGGTAATGGATGGATGGAGTTTGGTTCTATAGGTAAAAGATAATGGGTTGCAAATGTACATTAACTGATAACTAAATCCATCCAGTTGTGCATGAGATATTTTCCTAACAGGATGAAATGTGAACACACAAATGGAACTGGAAGTCTGAGACAAGTGAACAGACCTCCATGATCCAGAGCTAGTTTCTGTAACAGGTCTGCCTCTCCAGTCTGTAACTTCCAACTAAA